CATTCTCCTGACTTCTGATTTCTTTGAAAGACAGCTGATTGGCCTACACAGTGACATCGAGAAAAGGGGTAAGGTAGTAAAGGTCCCTGAACAACAAAATCACCTTGTGGTAAGTAATTGGTCCTAGGTCCATCTTTGGAGATGGATGTTGTAGAGGTATAATGAAAGAAGGGGCTGAAGCCACTTGAAGTTTTCATTAAGGTTCATGCTAACCTTGGTACAAACTTAATGTGAAATCTTGTTTGTTTCTTTATTTGAACTTATTTCCTAGTTGCAGCTCTGAGATTCTCATTTGGCAAATGTGAGTTCACAAAGTTAGTGATATTTAAGGCAGCTTGAGTGTACTAAAAAATACTAGCTTGGGCATCTGATCTTCATCCTTTGGCAGAAGGAAGCCATAAACCAGAGCTACCTGAGTAGTCTCTCCATACTGTTCTTAGGCCAAAAAACAAATTGATTCATGGTGTTAAAAAAGACCTGAGAATGCCACATATTGTGGGCATATCATCCCTTCAGATGTCATGGTAGTCTTTCTCAAAAATGGCAGACTAAGCAGGGAAATAATTGGGTAGATAGTCTACATCAAGGGATGGTTTCTTGACTCAGAGATCTAGCAACCATTTTAAAATGAAGCTGACATCTTCACTACCTCTAAGAAAGAGTTAACAATAATCTCCAGTAGTGGTCCCAACACCACCCTGCTGGCTTTCACAAACCAGGGGAAGGATATGGATTCTAACTCTTAGGTCCTGACAAGTACATTCCCTAAACTTCCAGATACAACCTCCATGAGTATCACCAACTGGAACTTAAACACCACGGACTTAGCACTTGTTCCCTTAAGAATTAGTTCCACCACTGTAGAGGCAGACTGCTCAGTCTGAATCTGAGCAATTTTAATGCAAAATAATGTGAAAAATCTTAATTGCAAGTAACACTTGACTAACATCAGATGCAGTCTCCCTGAATAGTTAATATAGGCAATGCTGGGGCATCATCCTTAATCAACAATTTTATAAGCCGTGAATTTATCAACATGAACCTAGGGCCACTATTGACACCTTAATCTTCTGTGAAAAGACCCTGAAAATAATATTCAGTAGTGTACTCTCAGCCTGTGCCTGCTATTTGATCTAAACCAGTCAGTTTCCTTCCAAATACCATAGCAAGGATCCAGGAAACAAGCCTTTCCACGATCATTCCCTTCCGTCACTCCCCACAGCGATTGCCATAACCTTAGCATACACCAGCATTGTTCAGCCCGTTCAGCCCACTCATCCAACCTAAAGCAAGCATCAGAGGGATGTGCCACCATAGCTGGGTACCCAGACCATAGTGTTAGGGTCTACAGAAGGAGCTAGAATTTATAGGAATTTGCATTTAGGTGAAATGTGATTTGAGTAATCCTGATGTCAACAAAATGTTGGAGATCCTGTATGTGAAGTGTAATCCTCCTCGTCTTATGAGTGATGGCAAACAAATAGGTAAAGCACACAGAGAGCTGATGCTGGCAGCAAATGTCATTTCTTCAGATAGGTGAGGAAAGACCATTCTTTTTTGTTCCTCATTAGAGAACATGAAATTTGTGACTTTTGTTTTACTTAGTGGTTTAAATATTATTGAACTTGTCCTTGTACTACAGGGTTGGGCTTCATAGTTTGTATTTGCTTTTTAGAAGTGGTAGATTCCTTTTCTCAATTTCATTTAATTTCTGGAATAATACGTGTAATGTATTAAGAGTCACTTTTTTCAGCTGGGGCACAGAAGGGGAAATTCAAAATTCTCCACAACTTGTGTTTTAATTGGTTTTTATGGGCCTTTCATTTTTTAATATCAGGCCAAACAGAGCATTTAAAATGGTTGTAGTATGAACTATATCTTGGATACTCAGATGATTTTTAATACCGTAAATATTGTATATTTATAGGCGGTGCTAACCGCGCTACCTATAGTTAAAGTTGCTTGAGACATCTAATTATAAACCCCTGTTTTCAGTTGCTTATAACTTTACCAAACTTTAAACATTTGGGCTGAAGTTTTCCAGATCTGCCTATCTACCTCAGGGGTGGGTGGGTGTGGGGGTGTGTGTGTGTGTGTGTGTGTTACAGCTTCAGCAAAAATGATTCAGCCAATTTCAGAGAGTGATATTAGGGAAACATACACTATTTTTGCCCATGTTTTTAAAAATAAATCCTAGAATCACTTTATTGAGAAGCGCTAGAGCAGGGGTTCTCAAACTGGGGGGTCAGGACCCCCCAGCGGGCGCGAGGTTATTTCATGGGGGGTCACGAGCTGTCAGCCTCCACCCCAAACCCCACTTTGCCTCCAGCATTTATAATGGTGTTAAATATATAAAAAAGGATTTTTAATTTATTGGGGGGGGGAGTCACACCAGAGGCTTGCTAAGTGAAAGGGGTTACCAGTACAAAACTTTGAGAACTACTGCACTAGAGCCTCTGTGCTTTGAAACATGGGTTTGATATTTGGCTGAGGGGTTTCCCTGGGACCCTGGAGTCAGGGATGTGCCTTTTGCTGTTCCCTAAAAAGTTGCCTAAATTTGTCCAAGTTATAAGCTTTTGGAAAATCTCAGTTCACACATGCTCAATGGAGACCTGTTGGGAGTTTGGCAGCTAAATGATCATTAAGATTCAGTCTGCACTGAGCATGTTCCATTCTAGGGGTTCAGGGGTTGAGAAGGACTTTCCTGCAATTGCTGTTTCTGGTTGTTGCTGCTCGCCACATGGCAGCATCAGCCACCAAACTCAGAGCAGGAAGACTGGCTCTTCTCTGCTCTCAGTGCTCCCCCTGCTTGTTCCCAGGCAGTATGGAGGAGGAAGCCACCTGACTTGAAAGCAGAGGGGACAGAACCCAGACTGGGGAAGGAAAATTGGGTCAAGGAACCTGGGAGAGCGAGCCTGGGACTGGGAGTTGAAGGGGGACTGGGCCTCTTATGGGGAGATGCAAACAATGCTAGGGATCTTTTGGAAGAGTTACTGCAGGCACATCAAGATGTTAAGAGATTGAATCAAATAATTTGACTCTAAAGAGTGGATGTTTAGACTTCCTTTGTTGCTACTAAGCTGTTCACAGAAACAGATTCCTGCCATCTGTAGGACTGCTAAGAGCAAGACAGATTCTCCCACACATTCTATTCAGCCAAATGGCCAGGATTTGTATGTGAATTCTGCTAGCCTGAGACTGGTGTGTTTCCAAACTTCTCTTGATTATGGTTGCTTCAGGTGTGTGAGGGGCCATGAACGGCTGCTAATGGGAGGCAGTCATACATATCCACTTTCTTGCCCACTTGCAGGATGCTTCTTCTCGCCAACTTTTCCCGTAGGTTTTTCTCGGTAAGCACTGACATCATTTGGCCCTTCCCATATTGGTCTCTGACAGATCATGTGCATATTGCAGTTATTTAACTACCGAATGATTACTGTTGATGTGAGTTGATCTTTGTCCTTATGCAAATAGTTATCCTGATTGCTATATGTGGGAGTAGGAAGGAATTTTTCTTCGTGGCAGTTTCACTATGTTTTGGGTATAGGACATTTGATGAGAAACATATGTCCAGAGCTTAGACTTCATCTAAATCTTTTGCAATTGGTCTCTATTTTACACTTGTTTAAAGTCGTACTTGTTTTTGTCCTGTTTTTATTGTCCCTTGTGGTAAAGGCATCTGTGTTTGCTTAGTTATTTGTAATATGTATGGCATTGTAATAGTAGTCTTAGGACTGAATTTTCGATTACGGTAAGGCCCCTGTACTCTGCTCTGCCAGTATAAACAGGCCATAAAGTAGGTGCAAATGTAATTTAATCCCACTTTAAGGCCCCTGCTGGGTACAAGAGTGGCATAAATGACCCATGGTTTAACTGAGAATTAAGTTATTGGTGAATGGATAGTTTGTTAGACTAAGAATCTCAGGCTGAAGACAATTCTTTTTCATAGAAATATATTATTGTCTACTCTACTATTAAAGAGAGGCAAAGTACAGGGGGAAAATACACCTCTTTATATTTAAAGCAATTGAGTACATTTTAATTCTTGTGAAAGATATTGGATGGAGAGTCTTGGAGACTGAAGCCTTGCATTGCGCCACAGAATAGGTACAACATGAGCAAGTGGCAGTGAAAGTTTCAAGACACTGCTCTACCAATGTGCTCCCACTCTGACCTAATGGGACTACCTCCAGCTGTGATAGGGTAGTTCAGTTTCATTGGCCCATTCAGTTCTGGCCCCTCCGCCAACTGATACTAAATAGAATATATATTTGTGATGTGTATACCTGTACCCTTGATATTATAAGATAATATCACTCATTCCATGTATGGTAGGCTGCCAGTCACCAATCCTGTGGTAACAACTTTAGTTTACTACCAACCTGGACCAGATTCATGGCAACTAGAGGCAAAAGGCTTTGTACTACTTAAAAATCCATGGAATTATCCAATCCGCTATTAAAATAGTTAATATCCCTTTAAATATGTACTTGTATTACTTCTTAAATACAAATACAGATCTTAACCCATTCAAAAGAACTCTCTTCCCTTCAGGAATGATATTGAAACTGTCTATTAGGCGTGTTACAGTGTGTTACAAAAAGAGATGTTAGGATGTTCATTCAGTTGAGTTGTCTTTGTTGCTATTGTAATCATTGCAGGTGACATTGTGTGTCCTGCTCTGTATGCTCTTTCCTGCTCTGTATGCTCTTATCCCCCCCCCCCTTCCTGTCATCAGCTACCTTATTTAGATTTCCCTAATGCATATATTTAAGCTTCATTTAATAACATGACCAGTGGTTTCCTCAAATGAAAATCCTTATAGGGCAGCAGATCATAATGGATATCTGAGATTGCAGACTTTTAAAGTCAATCAGGCTTAAAAATAGTGGTTAAACATATCATAGAGATATCCAACCAATCTATCAGCCATTAATGCTACAGTAATAAAATGAAATATTTGCCATACTGGTTATTTATGTTTGCTCTGTTTATTCTAGTTTGAAAACGAGATCATCACAAAACTGGATCATGAAGTAGAAGGAGGCAGAGGAGATGAACAGTACAAAGTGTTGTTTGACAAAATGTAAGCGTTGATTAGCAGTGGCATTTATGTCAGAATATATTTGGACTACAATGAATTTTGTAGCCCAGAAATAATTAAAATCTGTTAATGGTGCAAAATATTTAAAATTGAACCTTAGTTTAGTACCTCTTCTTGAGTGTGATTAACAAGCAGTGTGCAATTATTTTTCAGTCTCTTGGAGCACTGCAGAAAACACAAATATCTTGCTAAAAATGGAGAAACTTTTGTCAGACTTGTTGTCCGTCTCATGGAAAGACTGCTGGATTACAGAACTATAATGCATGATGAAAATAAAGAAAATCGCATGAGCTGCACTGTCAATGTACTGGTGAGTGAGAAGAAATTAGTTGGCTAAATTTAGAATGGGTACTGAATTTTTAATTTTAACAGCAAGCTTCTGTTTGTTCTAAATGAAAGATCTTATGATTTTCACCCAGCTGTTAAAAATAAGGCTGATGAATCTGATTTAAAGAGGGGATTTCTTGACAAATATTGTTCATCACATTTAGTTTTTCATTTTTTTTTTTAAATTTAGAAAGGGAGTAATGTAGTCATCCTCAGCTCCTGTCGGTACAACCCATATACCACATCATCATCTGTATAGTCAGTTACCAGGATTGTCACCTGTGTGTTACTTTGAAGCCTAAAATATCTGTTGAGTCAGTGTGAAGTGATGGAAGCAGCTATAAGAATGGTTGAGAGCTCTTTTGGTTCAGAATATCACCAGGTTCTTCTTCGGGTGCTTGTTCATGTCGATTCCATTGCAGGTGTATGCGTGCCCACGTGTGTGGCCAGGGAAGATTTTTGCCTTAGTGGTATCTGTAGGACTGGTTATGGCACCCCCTGGAGTGCCGCGGTCATGCTGCAGTATATCAGGGACCGTCGGCCCTGTGCCCTCTCAATTCCTTCTTACCACCCGTGGTGGTCAGTCGGAGTGCCGCTGCCCCTTGCTTCACAAGTGGCCAGTGGTTTCTTTCCGTGACATCAGAGGTAACTGAACTGATTACCAGATTTACTCTGAAGCTAATTTGCATGCAACAGTTTCATTGGTTGAATGAGGGAGTCTGCACAGGTGGTGGATTACTTGGCCCAATTGCCACACCCATGTGACAGAATGGCACAGCATACAGATCTGTCAATTTAGAAATGAGCATTTGCATTAGAGTTTGCTTTTCTCGTGTCTGTATAGCAGAGACTGAGGACTTTATAATCTGAGGAGGAGAGAACTCTTGAAGTTGCCACTGATCAGTGATCCAAGGAATGAGATTGCTTATGGAAGAGGCAATTTGCCATTCTGACTAGAATTAGAGTGACAAGATGCTGCCTGTTGGTAACTGACAAAGAAGTTACAAAAATAAAGAGGCATTTGCGGTGATTTTAAGAAGATATAAAACAAGTTATAGTAATTTATAAAACTGGAAAAGTCTAGTGTGAAAGAGGTTTATTCTTCATACCCTGTGCTTGTTGTTTTTCCTTTAATGTCAACTCAGAGAATCCTGCTAAGTAAAACTTGTCATATCAGCTAGGTGGGATTCTAAATGTGCACTTGGGTGTCACTCTAACCATATCTTGTCTTTCAGTTAATACACTCCTCTTTCTTCATCTATCTAGAGACAAATTTTTGTAATAGTGTCTTCTGATGCTGAATTTTTGTTATACTGGATGTGATCTCAATATTTCAAATATTTGCATACGGTAAATTTTGTGGGGGATTTATTGTCATGGAGCCAAATTGCCCTGAGATACTCCTACACAACACTCCCATTGAAGTCTTTGGGAGATGCATGCAAACATCTCAGGGCAGTGCTTGGCTCATAGATTTTAAATAATATTTGATGACATGGTCTCATTTTAAATATGTATTCAGCCTTTGGGTTTAACATAATCTTTTCATCCTTAGTGTGCCTATGGCGTAATTCATCCCTGTACAGAGGGCCAGCCTAACGTCAATTCACCATTTAATTCCTTCTTAAAACCTCAAAGTAGGGCTTAAATGGGACGTAGGCCTTGCACTTGCCCTTTGCCACAGGGATGAATTTAGTTCATACTTACTAGAGCAGGGGTGGGCAAACTGCAGGCCGGATCCGGCCCATGAGCCGTTTTAAGCTGGCCCACTAGCTTCCGCTGGGGAGTGGGGTCGGTGGCCACAGCACACAACTCGGCCCCGTTACGGCGCTCTAGCCGGAGCACTGGGTCAGGGGCCACACAACACAGCTTCCATGGCATGGCCCCACTCTGGCACTCTAGCCGGGACACAGGGTCGGGGGCTGCTGCACCCAGTTCCTGGAAACCATGGAATGGCCGCACTCCAGTGGCCCCCTCCGGCACTTCGACGGGAGCTGCAGGAGTGGTGCCTGCAGATGAGGCAGCGTGCAAAGCCACCTGGCCGCACCTCCACATTGGAGCCGAAGAAGGGACATGCCACTGCTTCCGGGAGCCGCTTGAGGTAAGCGCCGCTCTGAGCTCTGCATCCCTGAACCTCTCCCCATGCCCCACACCCCTGCCCCAGCCCTCATCCCCCTCTTGCTCTCCAAACCCCTTGATCCCAGCCTGAAGCACCCTCCTGCACCCCAAACCTCTCATCCCAAACCCCACCCCAGAGCCTGCACCCCCAACCAGAGCCCTCACCCCCTCCCACACCCCAACCCCAATTATGAGCATTCATGGCCCGCCATACAATTTATATTCCCTGATATGGCCCTCCAGCCAAAAAGTTTGCCCAGCCCTGTACTAGAGCTAGGAACCAGCTCCTATATGCTAATTATGTAATACTTCGGTGCTTTCTGAGATCCCGGAGCTCAGGGTAAAGAGCAGAGCAGCTGGCAACAGCTTGGTTTAGTGGTTTCACATGATTTTCCTTGGGAATTCAGCAATTTTGTAGAGTTTTGAACCCAAACAGGGCTAACTACAGAAAACACAATTGAATTTTGTGTGACTGGGGGGTTTATTTGAATACAGAGCTCAAAGCAAAAGATGTGGGATACACAACCTTGGAAATGGAAACTGAAAAATTTCTCTCAATAACCCACCCATCCTGCAAAGCATGGAGTTTCCAGTAGGTCTCGAGCTTTCTTCAAACACAGCTTTTCTGTGTTGCATCTGTGCAGACATGAGTGGTCATCTGGCTTTTTTCAGTGTTTCTTTTTATGAGTGCAGCCATAGTCCATTTCTCACACCTGGTGTGATAGTCCTTAAAACCTCACATCCAGTGCTTAATTTGGGCTAGGGCTTGCCAGGGCTGAGGCCCGACACCTCTAGACTTGGCAGTTCATAACCTCGGCACCTCTGGGCTAGCCGTGTCAGTTACGAAAGTAAAAAAGCTTGCTTGAGCCCCAGCCCCAATTTCATTACAAATTAAGCACTGCCTACATCCTCTAGTCTGTCCACGTAGCACATACCACACGTTGGCATCTTCCACCACACATGGGCTCTTCTTCATCCCTCTCCAGTCCTTTTACTAGGACAGCCACTCCAGCTCTCCCAGCTGAATTGCACACTGCTCTGCAGGAAGTTCATCCTCACTAGGGTCGTATCTATCACTGCCTCAAGCCTCTCACTGTTCTCCTGGGTCCAACTATCTAGTGTAGAGATGTTGAATAGGTAAACCCCTGCTGTCAGTCCTCAGCATTGGCTCTCTCGCTTAAAAGTCAACAGGAAAATCCCTCTGTTGCCCTCTGGCCTTCAGCCCTCTCCAGTCCTTTGGCCCTGGTTCTCTGATTTCTCGAGGTCAGCCAGCAAACCCTCTTGCTTGTCTCCTGCTTTCAGCCTTCCCCAGGAACCACCTGCAGCTTCTGTTAGGGACCTTTAAGAGCAAGGATGGGCAAACTTTGTGGCCCAAAGGCCACGTTGGGGAATAGAAATTGTATGGTGGGCCATGAACACTCACAAAATTGGGGTTGGGGTGCAGGAGGGGTGAGGGCTCTGGTTGGGGGGTTTGGAGGGGAGGAGGGGGATGAGGGCTGGGGCAGAGGTGCGGGAAGGGATGCAGGTTCCGGCTGGGAGTGCGGGCTCTGGGGTGGGGCTAGGGATGAGAGGTTTGGGGTGCAGGAGGGTGCTCCAGGCTGGGATCGAGGGGTTTGGAGAGCGGGAGGGGGATGAGGGCTGGGGCAGAGGGTTGGAGCATGGGGAGAGACTCGGGGGTGCAGGCACCAAACAGTGCTTACCTCAAGCAGCTCCCAGAAGCAGTGGCATGTCCCTTCTCTGGCTCCTATGTGGAGGCACAGCCAGGTGGCTCTGCACGCTGCCCCATCCACAGGCACCACCCCTACAGCTCCCATTGGACTGCTGGAGGGGGCCATTGGAGCATGTAGGAGCTGGAGCAGGGCCATGCTGCGGCTTCTGGGAGGTGCATGGTGAGGCCTCCAACCCAGCCCCTGGCTGGAGCAGGGCCAAGCTTGTGGTGTGGCCTCAGACCCAGCGCCCTGGTCGGAGCGCTGGAGCGGGGCCGAGCCGCGTGGTGCAGCCCCTGACCCAGCACCCTGGCCAGAGCACCAGAGCAGGGCTGAACCGCGTGGTGCAGCCGCCGACCCAGCATCCCGGCCGAAATGGGGCCAAGCTACGTGGTCCAGCCCCCGGCCGAAACGGGGCCAAGCTGCGTGGTCTGGACCCCGACCCAGTGCCCTGACGGAAGTGAGGCCAAGCCGCGTGGTCTGCCTCCCGACCCAGCGCTGTGGCCAGAGCGCCGGACCTGGGCCGAGCCGCATGGTCCGGCCCCCACACAGCGCCCTTAGTGGGCCTGCTTAAAATGGCTTGTGGGCCAGATCCAGCCCACGGGCCATAATTTGCTCACCCCTGTTCTACAGTCTCCTAGTCTCTGGCAGATTTTACCTGTCAATCTTTCACTCCCAGACAGCCTTACCTTACCTGTCCTTTTTCTGATGACTCCTTTTCAGTCTCTCCCCACTTATATGGGCTAGGTGCCTTCTTTTAAACCCAGTTTAAACCCAGATTAGTCACAGGTGCACTAGCCTTTTTCCTCCTAAAGGACCAGTGTCTCCTTGTGACAGTTGGGGGAAAATTGGTAAATTGGTAAATTTGGTAAATCCTAGCATCTTTAATATCTTTTCTAATGTTTCATATCATACATTTTCAATATTTGCAGTACTTTATCTCTGTCTGTCTCAAGGCCAGAGGCATTCATAGATTTCGTACAGTAGGATGAGATGTGGTATATAAAAACCGAAAAAGGAACAATTTTAACTTTCTATTTTTTAAGAAAATGTTAGAATTCAAGAGTGAATGACTTATTACTCAAGGTTTAGAGTTTAAAAACCATAGTTCAACAATTACTTTAAAATTATGTTTTTGTAGATTACCAAATTTTAACTGAAAGCAGTTAATGCTGTGTGACTTGCAAATGTCTGAAGAATATTTTTCCCACCAATGTGATTCTGATTCAGAACCTTTGCAGTGGAACGTAAGCCCTAAAATGTTACACAATGAAACATCATCATGGTTTTAGATTTTATAGTTAAAGAACTTACAGGCTTCTGTACCAGAGGCAAATTTCATTTTGCAATTTTTGAGGTTGATATTATGACTTTGACTTACGACTTTGAATTTAGTATGTATTCTGTGTACATGACACACTGCAAAATCAAAGTCTTTAAAACCAAATTATAATTTTACATTTCAGAATTTCTACAAAGAAATTGAAAGAGAAGAAATGTACATAAGGTGTGTAAGCATGTCCTTTGACATATTTTTGCAGCTCACTTTACTGTAATTGGAGAAAATGAATTGTCTACTAAGCTACTGATTTGGAGAGGGGGAAATGGCAGTAATGAAAGGCACATACTTGTACCGAGGCGTAAACAGATTGAGTTTACAGAGACTAATAAGCATCAGTAATTAGGCTCATAAACTTTTTTAACCCTGCTGCATCACCTTCACTTTCATTATTGTAACCATTGAAATACTTAAAGGTATTATGACATACAGAAGAAAATTAAGACAAAAGAAAAGCAAGGAACTAATTGAATTTTATTTTCTGCCAAGAACTAAATTTGTGCCTAACAACAGAAGGATGGATTACTGACTATGAAAGTGCATTCAAGAGCATTATTCTTGCGTATGTCTGATACAACATCTGTATGAGGCCAATCCAGAACCCATTGAAGTCAATGGGAACAGGATCAAACCCTATTTCTGTAAACAGAAACTGTTGGCTCAGTTTAATATGGGCACCGAAGCCTGTATTTAAATTGATTTTTAAAGTACGCGATTAATCTATATTTTGTTAATTGCTACAAAAAACAAAACGGAATTCTTCTCAGGACATAGGCTGGTCTTGAGGTTCTGGCAAAAGACTAGAAGTCAGAATACTTTTGTTCTTTGCTGGCTCTGCCACAGACGTCATGTATGGTTGTTCTCTTGTGTCTATTTCCCCATCTATAAGATTAGGATAATAATACCTACCACACAGGAGTGATGTGAGGTTAAATTCCTTAATATTCGCAAGGCATTTTCAGCTCTGTGGAAGAAAGGCATTATGAAAGTGCAAAGTTATTGTTCTTTATCATATAATTAGTATTTTATATTTATTTTCCTATCATTCTGTCGGAATTTTTTATCTGAGAGGAATGGTTTGGGAAAATGAAGTGAGGACTGCAAGTGTTGCTCTTTAAAAAGAATTGCATTTTTATATCAAACTCTTTACTTGTCTTTTTTTTTTTTTTTGGTCATCTCAAAAAAAAAAAAAAGCAGGACATCAGAGCAAGTTACAGTTTTATAGCTATTCTTGAACATACCAGTACATTTTGTTGATGTTGCTGTTGATTTTCTTGGCATGCTGTATCCTAAAAATTTGTCTGAAATAGTGAAATATGAGTTTTAAAAAATCCCAGGTTTTTTTTTACTGTTGTAGTCTTCAACACAAATTATTTTGTGACATTTTAAGAACTGACTCTCTTTTATTACCGTAGGTATTTGTACAAGCTATGTGACCTGCACAAAGAGTGTGATAACTACACTGAAGCTGCCTACACATTACTTCTGCATGCAAAGCTTCTTAAGGTAGAGTACTTGAAATATATTTAGCATTTTGAAGATCTTGCTGTTGCAGATTACTATGTAGCTTTGTGTTTATTTTTTCATATGAGCTTTAGGACATCCACATTTACAAATTACGATTATTAACTTATTCAAAATAAAAAAAGAAGTAATTCAAAGTTGTATTGTGATTTACTATATGTTCCATAATTAGATATTATTGTAAACTTAATACATAGCCTAGAGAACGAAAATTGAATCCATGTTCTCTGTCTCATAGAAGAGCAATATGACTTACTGATGGTGATCTAAAATATCAGCAGTAAAAGTGCAATAAAATCAAGAGTAAATAGCATAAATTATCAATAAAAAAGCTAACAAACAGGTAAAATGCATAGGAATGCTAGTAACCTTTGGAAGAATCTCAGCAGTTGTTCTTGCAAATCAGCTTTCCATAGAAAACTGTGCTAAAGTAATAAATGGGTCAGCCCATGAGCCTAGTGGAAGCTCAGTGCACTGTTATGCAGGATCTTAAATTTAGTCCTTTGCTTCAGGACATGGGGGAAAAATCAACAGTAGTCATCCTTCCAAGATCATATCTTTTTAAAGGAGTGTCTATGATAATTCAATGGTATGATGTACCGAATGCATCTAAATTAATATAACGATATCAATGTACTTTAAGGAGTGTCTGAAATAGGTCAATAAATAGACCAGTAGTATAAATTAAATTAATTATAAAACATGCAGAATTTTAATATTACCAGGTAATAATACCTAACTTTTTATAGCTTTGATTGACAGTGTAATAAAGCTATAATATAATGTCACTTAAAAGCTTTACTTTATACATATTATCTAAAATGAGTGGCTTAATTATGTCATTACATCATAAATATTGCTGCATATATTAACAGTTTCCCTTATTCCCTGAAGTGTCATCTAGAAGATTCCAGTTGCACTTCAGCAGTAAGCGTGCCATTTTGAAATCACATTTTTATTTTATTACTCCACCCATGTTAAGGAGTGACAATGAGTTTTTATTTTTAGCTTTAAAAGAGAGAGGGGGAGAAGTAGAAATCTAAACTTCATGCCCTTTGCTTTTCTCTTTATGGCCCTGATTGTGCAAAAACTTACATTTGTACTTAACTTTGTGCATATGAAGTCTTTGGGGCTACCCACAAATCATAAAATTGAGCATGGGCATAAGTCTTTGCAGGGTTTGGTCCTATGTCACTGGAGGGGAGCTCAAAGAATGAGACATGGAAAGGTAGCAGAAAGAATTAAATTTGGGGCTTGAGTTTGGATAGTGCATATACTTCAGTGTGTCAAGATCTTTACTCTTTTGATCATTCTTCCCATAGACTTTAGTGAGAATTTCATATGTGTATGGAGAGCAGAATTTGGTCTTCAGTGTGTGAGAGCTGCATAAGTGAACCGATGTTCATGCAGCGCATGTACTAGGAAGCACGTTCTTCTATAAACTTTAATTTTATTCTGATAATTAACGCATGTAAAAATAGGGAAATGATTTGGTGAAAAATGTTGAAATTCTTTGTTATTTCTGTTTAGCAGAGTTTGAAATTATCCATTTTCTGTGAAATCTTCCATGATATTTTTATGAAAATGTGTACTGCGTTCATTTTCATAACACTTTGTTTATTGAAAACTCTAAGAAAAGACAGTTATTGGTAAACTAAATTTTCCCATAACAATTTTGATAAGCATTTCAATAAAAATTTGGTGAAAATTATAATAAAAATATTATGAAAGTTTTTGCAAAAAATTGAAAATGTCAATAATTTTGACCGTTTTTCATGAAAAGTTTCAGTTTTGAACAAAGGTCATTTGTCTACAATGAAAAAAGTTTTCATGCAAAATATTTTGTCCAGCCCTGAAGATTTTTTTTAGAATGAGGATTCTGAAAAGGTAACTGATGGAAAACAATGTTTATGGTAAAATAGGTATGTATATTGAAATCACAGTTTCTGTGAGAACTAGAATGATAACCCTGAATTCCATAAAGAATTGACTGATAGTCAAAGTAACAGAAGGTCACATTTTGCAAGGTTAAGGCTTAAGTTTTGCGTGCAAAATTTGTGTGTGCACTTCATATGTAAAATCCAAATTTGCACTCTCAAGCAGACAACTGTGAGTACAAAGTAGTTTCATTCTTGTAATTTGTCACTATAATATTTCATTGTTGTGTTAGCAATAATTCAAAATAATTCATCAATTTAAAGTGTGTGCATTTATGTAAATATGTATGTGTAGAGATATAAACAATATGTAGCTCAGTATTTGTACCTAGAGCTTTAACAGACGTATAAACTAAAAGCTTTTACAATTTTTGTATTTTGTAGTGCAGTATCCGGTAGTAAAAAGCACTAAAAAAATCCCCACATCAACAGCTGTTTGCCAAAGGACAAAAACCTATCAGTTAGAGCAGTGTTTCCCAAACTTGGGACGCAGCTTGTTCAGGGAAAGCCCCTAGCGGGCCCGGCCGGTTTGTTTACCTGCTGCGTCCGCAGGTTCGGCCGATCACGGCTCCCACTGGCTGCGGTTCACTGTGCCCGGCCAATGGGGGCTGCGGGAAGCAGCGGCCAGTACGTCCCTCGGCCCGCGCCACTTACCACAGCCCCCATTGGCCTGGAGCAGCGAACTGCAACCAGTGGGAGCCATGATCGGCCGAACCTGCAGACGCGGCAGGTAAACAAACCTGCCGGGCCCGCCAGGGGCTTTCCCTGAACAAGCAGCATCCCAAGTTTGGGACATACTAAGTTAGAGGATATATGAAAGATAGGGTGGTCCTTCATAAGAAAGAAATCAGCCCTTCTAACCACAACTAATTTCGTAAGGATTTTTAGCTGGTAATGTGCAGCAAAGTAGTTTTAGTAGTTTTAATCTGGGGAACTCAGATAAATATGTTTGGAATAAAGAATAAATAAACTCACATTTAGAAAGATATAATTGAAAGTGTTGACTAAAGGCTACCCTGGGTGCCTTCTTATTTTTCTCTCAGGATTATGAATACATTGTGCCAAAATTGTAGTTGTAAGGTTGAATGTGGTTCAGAGCACTTTTTTGTGGAACTGTGTGAAGACATTTTCAAAGGTATAAACTCAACTTTACTTTAAACTCGATTGGTGATTATAGAAAAATGAAAATGTCAATGATATTCAACTGGCACTTAAAGGATAAAGCTATTGCTAAAGTGCTTTTATAAGTTATTGCTTTTATAATGAAATCTACTACACAGAGACATAACTTATGAAGATAAAGGTTTGAGAAGATGACTCTGACATCTTCAGTCATACTGAATTTTCCAGAGGGTTTTGATTACAAATTTGAATGAATAACTAGCTGATTTTGTGGACACAAAGATTTCTGTTGTTCCCATTAGGGAAATTAAATGGATTGACAGTCTGGATAATATTTTCTTACTGGAGTTATTAAATGACGTCTCGATTGTCATAACATGCTTGATCATATGTTCCACAACCAAGTCTGATAGACCAGATAAAACATTTCCCTCTACTGAGGTGCTGCATCTTCCAGGAAGATGATGGAGTTCAGAGTGCAAGATAATTTCACTGTCTTTTACTCATTAGATTTTGCAATTTTTTAATCAATATGTTTTTATGTGGCCCCAATTTAGAGTTTAAACTATTTCCATTAACTACACTTTGGAGTATATTTTTATTCTCCTTTATAAAATATTTTCAGATACCAGATGAGTATTTTAATTTACTACTGTTAATTAATGGAAATGAAATATCCATCATATAATCAATTTTTTACTTACAATGTAAGACAGTAGAAAATGGCAAAAATAAAAGTAGCATTTGCTTTGGCTTACAAATAAATCAGATCTGTTGTGATTTTCACATCCTAAAGAGCATACAGTCTCTTTACTTTCCATTGGAAAATACTTGATGAGACCAGTGGTCCATTTAGTTTGATAGCTTGTCTCTAATAGTAGTCAAGACCAGATACTTCAGAAGAAGGTGCAAGAAACCCTTCAATAGGCATTATGGGATAACCTGCCCTGAGAAATGTTTTCTTCTAAGTCCTTCAGTGAATGGTTAGATTATGTCAACATTTCTAAAGTTTATTTACTGGTTTTTCAGTTCATGTGGTGTCTCTTCATTACTGTGGAGCATGTAACTTTAAACTTCAAAGCCTCAGGTTCTTTTCCACAGGACCTTGAGGATGGGATTTTCAATGGCACTCAGCACTGGAATAAATGTCATCAGATTGAAGTCAATGGTAAAACACAAATCGGTTTTAATGGGATGAGACTTAGGTCAGCCCTGAGTGCTTTAGAAAATCCCACCTTTAAATTTGTAAGAACTATGCCACTGTGCAGAGAGAGCAGCTATTTAGTTCTTAGAATTACTACACTCCATATATAGGTCAGCTGGACGGAGACACACACACACACACACACTCTCTCTCTCTCTCTCTCTCGGAGATGTTCTTTCTTGTTTTCATTTGGTTTAAATTAAGTTGTTCAAGCTAATAGTACACAGTAGCTCTTTGTGTGTAGAAAAATGTAATTGTATTTTAGACTCCTGTGGAATTTGTGTAGTTTAGCAATATGGCTTTTGCATACAAAAAAGTGGCTACTTATAGAAATGTGACTGGTAGCTCAGCAGTGGAGACTTGAAAATTGACATCATCACTGGGTCTTTGGAAGCACATTTGTTCTTCCTTCCAGATGCAACTTGTTTCTGATTAAACTCATTCTACTGAGTATATACTAAAATCGTTCTAGCCTAGACAAACAGATTGTCATACAGAGTGGTCTGGATCGCTTGGTAATCAGGGCCCAGTCAGACAAAATGTGTTTTAATAAAGTCAAATGCAAAGCTATAAATCTAGAAGCAGTGACACACTTAAATAGCTAAATCTGTTTGTTTATCAAAAAGAAGATTGAGAGGTGACTTGATTGCAGTGCATAAGTACCTTCCAGGGGAGAAAATACTGGGTATCAAAGAGCTCTTTAATCTAGCGGAGGAAGGCATAACAAGAACCAATGGCTGGAAACTGAATCCAGACAAATTCATATTCGAAATAAAGCACGCAGTTTTAACAGTGAGGGTGATTAACCACTGGAACAAATTATCAAGGGAAGTCATGGATTCTCCATCTGTTGATTCTTTCCAATCAAGACTGGATTTCTTTCTAAAACATATGCTTTAGTCAAACACAAGTTATTAAGCTCAGTGCAGGAGTAACTGGGTGAAATTTCATAATATGCAGGAGGTCTGACTAGATGACCTGATAGTCCCTTCTGGCTTTAAACTCTGTGAATTAATCTATGAATTGCTGTTTTTGCAGGGACTGCTTTTCATCCCAAAGTTGTACCTTTTACTTTTGGGGACAAGGAAAGAATAATTTTACATTCTGTAGGAAACAATGAGCAGTTCTTTGAATTTTATTTTTCTAATCTACTTGAAGTCTCACTTTACCCCTCCACCTCACCATTTTCCAGATGGCTATTTTAGATAAAAGACTCTACCCTTAATGTTCTTATTGAAAACACACATGTATATAAATTACATATTTTAAAAGACCGTGTTTGTAACAGCAAAAAGAAAAGGAGGACTTGTGGCACCTTAGAGACTAACACATTTATTTGAGCATGAGCTTTCGTGAGCTACAGCTCACTTCATTGGATGCAAGTGAGCTTTAGCTCACGAAAGCTTATGCTCAAATAAATGTGTTAGTGTCTAAGGTGCCACTAGTACTCCTTTTCTTTTTGTGGATACAGACTAACACGGCTGTTACTCTGAAACCTGTTTGTAACAGGGCATTTCAGGTTGTGGGTGATGCAGGGTTATCATCATATCTCTGATAGTTGGCACTGTTTTTTTGTTCTATGGAAGTATCATGCCTAGGCATGGCAGTATCAAAGTGTGAGACTATCCCTTGTTCATTGAGACAGCAATTGGGGGGAAAGACCCTATTAACCTTAATGAAGATAGTCATGGAGTCAAATTGTTTACAAAGTTATAAAAAGCAAGGCCTCCCTCCCCTTCTCCCCCCCAATTTCAGGCAGCCTCTATATTTTTGTTTGCTATTTTTCCTTTTTCTCCAGTCATTTTTCTCCAAGAATTTTACCTCTTTACCTTCTATATATACAGTTCTGTCCACTCATATTGACATAACCCAGTTTTGTAGGCTTTCTCTCAGTGTAAACCTACTAATAATGGCTATTTATCCAGCCAGCTGTGTTGATCAAGACTGCCAGGTCACTCTAATGCCTTCTATCAAGGAGAAAAGGAAACCTCCTCAAAGACCTGTCCCTTAGCTGATGCTGAGATATATAAACCATTCTCAAAAAGAAAAGGAGTACTTGTGGCACCTTAGAGACTAATCAATTTATTTGAGCATAAGCTTTCGTGAGCTACAGCTCACTTCATCGGATGCGTACTGTGGAAAATACAGAAGATGTTCTTATACATACAAACCATGAAAAAATGGGTGTTTACCACTACAAAAGGTTTTCTGTCCCCTTACCCCACTCTCCTGCTGGTAATAGCTTATCTAAAGTGATCACTCTCCTTACAATGTGTATGATAATCAAGTTGGGCCATTCCATAATTACTATATTTCAGGTAAGTAACTCCACTGCCCTGGAAATCAAAATACAGTATCATAGGTGCTGTAAAATCTTTTAGATATCGGGCCAGCCCTGATGGCACTTTTAAAAATAAACCAAGATTGAATGTTTGCATTAGCCCAATGTCATTGATATGTTACATCATCTTTTATTGCCTTCCATTTTTTCACTCTTCATGTCTGGTTTAGTGGTCAGAAGAGGCATGTGCAGCACATCTTACTCAGCGAGATGGATACCAAGCAACTACTCAAGGACAACTTAAAGATCAGCTGTATCAAGAAATTATCCATTACTTTGACAAGGGCAAGGTAAAAAAAGAAAAAGAAAAAAAAAAAAAGCATGTTGCACTGCTCTTCTCTCTTATACTCGCTCTCTCTCTTTCTTGCTAAATGAATGCCAAATAGTAAACTTGCATCAAGTGACCTTCAAGGAGCTTTAAACTTGTTATAAATTGTAATTTGGAATGTTTTATGTAAACAATCTGCCAGCTAGCACTTACAGATAATAATACTTTAAAAAAAATCAATGGTACTTTTATAAATGCTGTGTTAAGTGTAAATAGGAAAAGGGTAAATAAATGTAAATGCTGTGGGGGGGGGGGCGTGGGGAAAAGTGAAGCATCTTATTTTGAGAGGGTTCATTGGCAATTGTGGTTAATGCAGACTGTTAGCTATCTTTGTTTTTTTCCCCCCTTTGTAACAATCAGATTAATTATCTAGAAGAATGAATGAATCTCAGGTTGGTATCTTAAAGAGGCAGGGAGGGAAGAGGTCAGAAGGGAATATTTCATTGGAATTGCTACTTTACTCTGGATGAATATGGATGGGTTTGACATGGGTTCGTTTTTTTGTGTGTGTCTGTCAGTTTGTCTAAGTTGGGGAGGGGGAAGGAGAGGGGAGATACAGTTGGTGACACACCATTCGTTGGGCCTATCTGGCACAAAATGTTTAAAAGGATGTATGGTAGAGATGTATGGTAGAGATGGCAGACTCATCATCAGAATGTTCCAGGTACAGATGTCTGTGTTGTCACAGTTTATTGTACAGAAACGGGGCAAAAAATAATTGTCAGTTTTTACAGGAATGAATTGTTCTGCCAGCTCAGCGTGATGCAAGCGTGTTTTTAATGGCTTCATATTGGCTTGGATGAAACTCCATAATATTCTATGCACTGAAAAAGCCAAATATGGTCACTTTATATTAATGTTATCTTTATAAATAGTTAATAAATGATAATATATATTCTAATAAAAGATTAATCTTTTAGATTGTTATATAAGCCTCCGGGTGTGCTTATAACCATTGATAACGTATGTTAGTCATGTATGTAACATACTTGTAACCTCTATTAAATATTATTAATAAATTAAACCTTACTACAAAACATGACCAAAAATATATTTTAATTTTCTTTGCAGTATACATTTTTTGGGGCAGCAGGTTGAATGCTTTTTTTTTGTTGTTGTTGCATGTTATAGTTTCACCCTTGTTCCTAAATAAATTACACTTTTTTGTTTTCAGTGGCCTAATTTCCTCAGTAACTGAACACCTGCAATTCCTCTAAACTCAATGGGAGCCGTACTTCTGAAAATCAGGCCACTGGATTTTAATTTTAAATTAAATCAATAATGTCCTTTCTCCTCAGCTGCATGTGAAACAGCCAAGCTACTTTAAAGTTGTACTTGCCCATTTCTGCTACTTTTAGAACTAATGAGCTGTTTATGAACAGCAGGCAAAAATACCTGCTGTTTACAAACGTTCATCCTGTGCGGCATTACACAGGCAGGCATCTAAAGCTTGAGAGAACACGGTTGGATTGAATAACCCCACATAATTTGAACATATTGTACTATCTGTTGTATAGTTCAGCCGAGAGAGAGGGAAGTAAATGTCCGCTTGTTTAAGAACTGATGAACAGCCTGTATTTTGCCCCTTTCACTTATTTTTGGATAGTTGAACAATATCAGTGTGCCATGAGGTTAATAAACTCATGCAATCTTGGACTAATGGGTAAGGCAAATTCCAAAGCTACCCCGCAGTAGAGAATGTACTGCTTTTAGACCTTCAGAGTTAGGATCCAAGACCAGAAAAATTCAGAGATATTAAAATTTCGGAATTTAGTTTTTAAATTCCCCAATACATTTGCCTTTTTCTTGTATTTGACCTTCTGTCTTGCAAACATTTTCTTTTTTCTGACTGGTTGATGTTCTCCTTTATTCTTTAGCATGCTTACCATTTTTCCAAAATAATTATAGTATTTTGCTCCCTGTCTCTTCTTTCTAAGCTGTTGTTTCTTAACCTTCCCATTACTCTTCTAATCTCTGTCCTTTCCAAAGTAAAATGCAATTTCCTCCAGGTTTCCTAGGAGCCTTCATATCATTTTCTTCCTCTCCTAGATAATTACCCTTCGTCTGTTTCGTATTTTTTGCTATCATCTTTTAGTTTTCCCCCTAAATGGCCTTGTGTTCAGTTTTATCATGTCAGTCTAACCAATCCACTGTAACTGCCCCAAATTGTCTGGAATTACGATGTTTGTCTTAAGGTCTTAAAATTTTCCATAAAGCCCTTAATCCAAGGACTTTCCTGGGAATGTAGGCTGCTGTGTAGCGTGATGAGAGTAGAAAATAGAATGGCGGTAAAAAAAGAAAAATGTCGTCCATGTGGAGAAGTTGATGTTAGTCAATGTTAAAGAACCACTGAGGCCAAGAAACAGGCTAGAGGCACTAGTAAAAATAATATAGTATAACCCAATTTATGTGGTCTCTCCAGCTGTTGTCAACAGAAGCTGTGGAATACCGGGTTCCTATTCCTTTTTAGTAAAATGTACAACTTCTTTAACATGTTTTAAGGTTAGAGCTGGACACTGTGGTATACAAACCAATAAATATTTTTCCCAACTATTAAATTAAAAATGTTGGCCTCAGAAGTGAGCAATAAATAAATAAATAAATTCCCGTTGCTGATTGATTTAAAAGTCACGCTTTTGCTGGATGCACAATAATTAAAGCATAAGTGCTATTTTACACTAAATATCTTGTGATGGCGAAAAGCTCAAATGTCTGTTGCATCTCACTTGATAGCCTTTCTCTATGAAATGTATACCTGTGCAGAGGGCCAGTGCAAGGCCTGTACACTGCTTAAGTTGCACTTAAGGCTTTAAATAGGAATTAAGTGGTGCCTAGGCCTTGTATGAATTTTAGCCTATGAAAGTATATTCAAGAAAATGAGGGATACAACTGCTGTCCATCCCACTAAACATTTTATATTCTTCATACCATAAGCAATAGGGAAAGATGTGGTTACTGTGAACGATGACTAGATCGATACATCCACCTTTCACTGCCTCATCCCCATTATTTTTCATTTCTTCAAGACTAGATTACTTCCCTTACTACCTGTCTGTCCCAGGCCCCTATATTCCTCTGCCAAAAGGCTATTACTTACATATAGTGTAGTATCTAGTGAGCTACGTCTGCTTCAGTCAGCAGTAAATAACCTTCAGGTCCTTGCCAGGTTCCAACAACTGCTCCCAGGGTGGGCAACAGGAGAATTCTGCCACCCTGTTTCAAGGGTGCTCAGGAAGCAGGTTTGTGTTGACAAAGGCATGTGGGGAGGCCAGCAAGAAGAAGTGAGAGGAACTATATACATTAGGGAAGAGTTAAATAATATGATGTGTTACAAAGAATTAAACATGATGCAAAAGGTAAGAGAAACCATTGAACAAATTCAAACAGGAGATTTAAATGGTCAAAGCAGCTGGAGGAGGACATTAATTTTAGGAGTAGCTTTTTGATGAAACTGGGGTATGGAATGAAATGAGATGCATGGAGGCCAGACAGGAGGAAGTTGCAAGACAGAAGGATTTTAGAGGTGATGAAGAGGAGGAAGCAACAGTATTTGAGAACCTGGAATAGTCTAAGGTTATGGAGAAGAAAAAGAGAGCAGAAAGCTTTTGCAGGAAAGTTGAGAAGTTCAGTTTTCACTCTTTTGAGGTTGTCATAGTTGAAGGAAAATCTGGGAGGAGACATCAGAAGGGCAGTCAGCAATCCAAAACTGCACAAAGATAGTTTGGGTAGACAGAGATATGTAGTGTTCAAGATAATCATTCATAAGAGAGCCATATTAACTTTCTGTTGAGTAAAAGGAACTGCAGATAATCTCTAATCACTGAATAGAGCATATTCCTGTGTACTCTATTGAAATAGCATGCGTTAAATGTTTCTTTACAATAATATAATAAAATGTCCTTTACGTAATTTGCTAAATTGCAATTTTACAAAGATTGATTCAGCATAAGCAGATGAAACCTTTTTAAAGCATATGAAAGCATATGAAACTAGACCCATAGCTCTTTTCAGGCTGTGACTATTTCACGTGAACTTTAAAATTAATTTAATTATAGGATATTCGATAAAAAGAATATCCTTTCAGATTCTCAAAGGCTTTCCCATAAAAGGATGCAGTCAGAGTCCTGTGTATCCCACACAACTGAATTCAGGAGGACACTTTTTTTCTCATTCTTTCAGCAGAAGAGAGGCATTTTCCCTATAAAATCAGAACCCATTCTCACTTGTACGCTATCCAGATCAATTGTTTCCTGCATTAAGGAATCATTCATCAAACAAGTACTATGTACTAGCTCCCTTTCCCATTACAGTTCATTTCTCTAAAAGACTTGCCATGTCCTAGGCAAAGCTGGGAAAAGTTCCAAAGCAAGAAGTCTGTGAGGCAGCAGATTGGGCATTACTGACCTTCAAGAATATTTATAGATTTCAGTTAACAGAATCCTTTGCCACAGCCATACTGCCCTCACCCAATATACATTAGGTGTAGTATACACAAGGGAATTTTTTTGAGAGGTTGCAGTGAGAGGTGCACACTTTACTTGAAGATGGATATCTAAAACCACTGGAATTAAGGGCACTCAGCAACACACACATTGATTCATGTGGTAAAAACCTCTTCTTACTCCCTCACTATATGACAATTGAATTTCCTCATTGGGTCAAAGTTGAGCATGTAGGGTATCGTGGAAGTTGTAGGAAGGTCCCAATGACCAGCAGTAAGTCCTTTTCTTTTGGTCAAATTACTTCCGCAGAATGATACCAGTGAAGACACAGGAAGGAAGTTAAAAGAATTTTGTCTCACAGTTGCAGTTTTAACAAGAAAACTAAGCAAAACTTATTTTTAGTATTACAAAAAATGATTAGAGAGACAAGGTGGGTGAGGTAATACCTTTTATTGGACCAACTTCTGTTAGATTTAGAGACAAGCTTTCAAACTTATACAGAGCTCTTGTTCAAGTCTGG